GCTGGAGGTCGTGGGGTTTGCTGAAAGGGCTTGTGGAAAGTGACAAGTCTTGGGTAGCAGAAACGCTCTTGCCCACTCCAAAACACGTGGCGGACTTGGCAGCGTTGGGTTCACGGTTGGACTCTTAAAGGATGATCTTAAAGGTCTTTTCCAGCCCAAATGATCCTGCGTTTGTCCCTCGCGGGTACACGTTGCGGTCGGGAACCGCTGCGCTGCTGCAGGTGGCAACTGCCGGTTTAGGGCAGAGAGAGCGATGCTGGAGAGCATCCCACTCGCACGGCGCTCTGCCTCCTCATCCTCAGCTGATGAGAGGCTCAGTGGTAAACTACATCCATCCCCAAATCCTTTCCTGATGTTTCTCATCCGCGTAAAGAGCTGCTCCCCTTGCTCGGGGGAGCGCTACGGATTGCAAACGGGACAATGATCTGCCCTGGGCTGAAGTCTGGAGCCTGCTGTAGCTTCACCAGGGCAGATAATGAAAAGCATTACGGGTGTCTGAGGTTTTCTAAATTGCTCTCAGTTAACAGGCTGAAAGAGTTGTACAAAATTATACAATTACCAAGTGGTTTGGTAAAATTATGCAATTACCAGCTTCACATTTGGGTTCTTAATTTCATTGTGTTGTAGTTGCTTATAAACGGCAAATTCTCTCTTCCTTTTCTCTGTAATGAAGTATAGCAATTATAGCTCGGGTGGGGAGCGTTGGATTGCTGCTGGTAGGAAAGGATAAAGCATAAGTTCCTCTTTTCCTGGTGTAATACTCGGCAGAGTTTTTCCATCAGGTCTAGAAAATCTGAGCACAACATTTGATGCAGCAGCATTGGAACATCTTCCTCTTTAAACCTCCCTCTTGCAGACGCTTTTGATAACGATTTGATGCACACAACCCTGAAAAACATTGTTGAGGGGAAGACAGTTGAGGTACCAACCTATGACTTCGTGACCCATTCTAGGTAGGTTTGGGTTTTGTGCGAAGTCTTGGGGACGCGCTGCTTGACTGTGGCGTGAGACCCATTTAACAACGCGCTCTGGGTGTTCTTTGCCGGCAGGCTGGCAGAGACGACGGTGGTCTATCCTGCTGATGTTGTCCTCTTCGAAGGGATCCTGGTTTTCTACAATCAAGACATTCGGGACATGTTCCATCTCCGGCTCTTTGTTGACACGGATTCCGATGTCCGGCTGTCCCGCAGGGGTAATGCTCGGCCGTCACGGGCAGCGTCAGCCTGCTCGTGGTCCTTATCCATCCCCAGCCATGTGGTAAAACTCATGGGTTTTTATCTTCCCGTCCCAGTTCTGCGAGATATGAAACGTGGGAGGGACCTTGAGCAGATCCTCACCCAGTACACCACGTTCGTCAAGCCTGCCTTTGAGGAGTTCTGCTTACCGGTACTAAGTGTTTCACTAATTTGATTTGTGGGTTTTGGGAGGAGAGAAGGAGCAGGGTCACCTGCACTGTCGATGCAGCAGTGGTGCCTTTTGATATTTGCACTTCGCAAGTCCCACGCTCTCCCCTCTGCCTCATCTATTTAACCGTTACAAGCTGCTTGTTTAAGGAACTGAAGCGGTTGGTGCCTTGTGTTGCAAAGCACCATGGAAATCCCTAGAGGCTGTGCACATTTTCGCACTGCTCGCTGCCGTGGCTGGTTTAGCATGGGTCCCTGTGACTGAAACGCTCCCACTCTGCATTTATTCTGAAGTCTTGCCGGAAGAAAGAAGAGCTTAGTTTCCAGCAGACTCGCTCTCAGCAGGGATCACCGGTGAAAACCTTGGGCAGACCGCTACAGTGTCTGCTTGCTATGCCATATAGCGCGGGGCCAATTTAGGTGCTCACGCAATCAAATTAATTTGTAAAAAAAACCCTTCGAGAACAAAATCCTGTATGTGGATTAAATAAGATGGAAAAGGCTAACTCAGGCGCCTCTTGCTCTAGATCAAAGCAATTCTGGGATTGTAAAAGTACTCATTAGAAATGCTGAATTTGCCAGCCTTGTTATAAGTAGGGGGAAAAAAAAAAAGCAAACGGGGGCCCCAATGGTGGTAAAAATCAATAAAATGTCATCAGAGGCAGGAAGGAATTTCACACGCACGTTGGGTACCTTGGCTCTCAGCAGAGATTTAGCAACGGCTTGTGAAATGCTGATTAGAACCAGCTCTTAGCAAACAGAGCTCAGCCTCGAAGCCGGCGACCCATTTGAAGGCAGCACGCTCTTCAGGAGCGTAAAAGCAAGTACTCCACATGACCTGCTGCTTCTACCTGCTGATTCACTGCAAAGGGGCAGTAAGAACAGTCCCTGACCTTAATCCCAGTGCGTGTCTGCCAGTGTGATGTCTCAATTCATTTAGGTGTTACTATGAGGGAGCACTTCTGCAGTCCCAGAGCGTAGAAATCCCTCCATCTTTGCCCTCAGCTTTCTGGTGTTTGGTAGTTTCTTCCTAGAACCACAGAATGGGTTGGGTTGGAAGGCACCGTGAAGAACACCCAGTTCCACCCCCCCTTCCCTGGGCAGGGACACCTCCCACCAGCCCAGGTTGCTCCAAGCCCCGTCCAACCTGGCCTTGAACACCTCCAGGGATGGGGCAGCCAAGGCGTCTCTGGGCAACCTGCACCAGGGGCTCACCACCCTCAGAGTAAAGAATTTCTTCCTAGTATCTAATCTAAATCTCCCCTCTTTCTGTTTAAAACCATCACCCCTTGTCTTATCGCTCCCCTCTCTGATCAAGAGTCCCTCCCCAGCTCTCCTGGAGCCCCTTTAGGCACTGGAAGGGGCTCTGCGGTCTCCCCTTTTTGGCCTTCTCTTCTCCAGGCTGAACACCCCCAACCCTCTCCGCCTGTCCTCCCAGCAGAGGGGCTCCAGCCCTCTGATGATTAGAATAAAGCTGGCTTTTTCCATTAACGGTCTCCATAACGGTTTCTGTTTTGCAGACAAAGAAGTATGCGGATGTGATCATCCCCCGAGGAGTTGACAACATGGGTAAAAGGGAGTTCGTTTCTCTGTCTGATTTCTCTGGGGACACCGCCTTTGGGGTTGGGAAGAGAGCAGGTGGCACACTGTTTTGGTCTTGTTTGCATGCTTCTGAGGAAAGGTGTTTTGCTGGAGGGCTGCAGGGGAGGGAGCTGCTCAGCGCCTGACCGGGATGACCAGCTGCTCAGCCTGTGGAGGGCTGGAAAAAGTGACACGCGATTGGAGATGCAGAGCAGGACACCAGTGTTAAAGCTGGTGTTGCTGTTGCTGGTTTCTGTTGAGGTCTGACCTCACTGCAGAGGGCAGGCATAGCTTCATTTAAGGGCTTGTTGTTAAAACTTGAGTCGAACAGGGCTGAATGCTCCACATTTTCTAGATAGCTTGGCTACGAAAGCTGATGTGGCCCGTATTTCCCATTCCTCTCTGCAGTTGCTATAAACCTCATAGTGCAGCACATTCAAGACATCCTGAACGGAGACATCTGCAAGTGGCAGCGAGGGGCAATGAACGGACACGGTCGGACCTACAAGCGCCCGTTCCCTGAACAAACAGAGAGCAGCAGCGTGCTAGCGGCCGGCAAACGCTCCCACCTGGAGTCCAGCAGCCGTCCGCACTAACCTGTCAGCGTCTGAAGGATTTGCCTCTGGTCCAGACCAACATTGAAGACAACTTTGGGGAAGGAGGACTTCAACAGAATGGTTGGTGAAGTGCCCTTTAAACGATCCTAGCAGCAGAGGGGATACTGGTGTGAAACTTCTCACAGAGGGGAGAGGAAGGAGTTGGCCTACTGCCCCTCTCCCCTCCAAGCCCCCTCCCTTTTCTCCCTACGGTGTCTGGAGTTATGTTACTTGATGACCTGGTTAAAGGCAGTGCCACTTGCCATTTTTTAATTTTCAAAATGAGATCTAATGCCGAAGTCTCCCCTGAAAATTAAGCGCTACCAGGTGATTAGCAAGATACCTCATTTCCCTGATGTTGATCTTCCTTAGCAGGAAAACTATCTGCTGCTTTTTTCAAACGAAAAAGGTCTCTAGCTTACACCCCATTAATTTTAACAAGCAGGTGCAGTCCTTCTTGTCTCCACCTTGTTGGCACCTTGAGTTTCCGGCGTTGCTCTCCTGCTGGCCAGCCTCCTTTTTTAGCCTGTAGTAGCATGTGGGGGTTTGACCTGTAGAGGAATCTCTCCCCTGAGACAGAGATGAAACAGAGACTGTCTGGGACAAATGGGAACTTTGCAGTTCATCAGGGGGACAGGCTCAAGAAGTTGTGCGATTCTGGTTCCTAATTTATTCCTTTCTAAGCTCCCAAACGTTGCTACACTGTATGATTATTTTTTGTACCCAAATAATCTCCTTTACCAGAGTTACTGAATGTGTGAGCTCCAACTGGATTGAGTTGCTCATGGAAACAGAAACCTGACATTGTCAGTATTAGTGTCTTTAAGGGCATTTCTGTACTGCTGGTTGCAGATTCTGCTGGGCGGAATCCGTCCGCTTCCAGAGCTGGGTGGTGAGATCAGCAAGGGGGAAAGCTGTGAATTGCAAGACCCTCCTTCTTTCTGCTGGCCCAAACTGCTCTGGACATGCTTCTACCCTCAAACAGGGTCAAAGTGCTTGCCTAGCACTCGGGCAGCTTAAACTCAAGAACGTCTGGTTTTCTAAAAAGAGCAGACAAGAGGCTGGAAGTATAAACAGTGATATCCCAGTTTCTGGAGTTTACCCCAGATAAGTGATACTGCAGCAACACGAAGTTTTTGGAAAGAAATTCTGAAATGAAGGGCCAGTTGGGCCTTTGAAAATGTCCTTGTGGTATCCTTCTTGAGTCTGGAATTATGGTGTAATTTTAAGAATGAGGGTGGGGGGAAATATTATTATGAGGAACTTTTTCATATTTGCTAGTTTTCTAAAACCAGGGTCTGGCTGTGTTGGTTGTGGGTGTGTTACTTTGGCTAATAAACAAATGAACAAACAGTGAGCAGAAATGACCATTTTATATAAAAGGTATTTGTGCTACTTGCACTACACCAGCATGAAGGTACAGAAAGGAACACTTCTGGAGATACTCTTATACTCAACAGTTCTCTCTCCCCTTAACTCAGATTGTTAGTGTTAGTTCTGTAATGACTGAAGCTTTAGAGAAGAAAAAAAATTTAAAAAATGCAGTCTGCGCTATCATCCCTACAGTCTTTTCAACACTGGAAATAGGTAATGGTTCATTATCTATTAGTGATCACCACAGTTCAGTGGGTGCACTGTTGTAAGGCTGAGGAGAAAGCAGTTAATTTCCAAACTGCTGCTGCGTGCTGCTTAGCTCAGGGTGACAGACTTAGAGTATGAGCTACTGCACTGAAGCATTAGCTATTGGGGCTGATTTAAGTAGGAGGAAAATAGTCACTAAAACCTACTTTGAATGACTGTGGTGTTTGATCATACCTTCCTCTGGGGGAGGCGTGGAGCTCAAAGCAGCCTTGAATAGCAGTTGTAAGGAACTCTACAGTGAAAAGCACCCTGGTCTGTCCAGGACTGTTCTCAGTCAGCTTTGAGCTGTATTGCAAGATCCTGCTGATGCAGCCACATGGAAAAAAAAAAGAAAAAAAAAAATCAGACGTGGCGTAGGACTATAACCCTTGTTCGATGCCTGTACAGAGCTATTGCAAATCCCCCACTGAGCGATGCTAGTCCTTCACTTGCACCGTCTCCGACGCTGTGAACTCCTCTGGTGGTGCAGGCCTGGGCACGAGCTGAGTTACCTACAATGTTTTTACCCTGAACCCATGTGTACAAGCCTGGAGCAGGTTTTTTTGTCAGCATGATGAGTTCTGCCTTGCTCAAGAGTTCCTCTTCCTATGAGAGCTGAGGTATAACCCTGCAGCCCAGTAAATACAATACCGCCATTGCTACTCACAGGCTTCACATGAACGGCACAAGGCCAAAGGATGCTTCTGGCTTTGGCTGACTTCTTGGCTTTGGTTTAGCTTGTTTAGCTGTAACAGCAATTTTTTTAATGTCTTTTTGTTTTGCTTAGCTTCATAAAAATTGTGGTTATGCCAAATGATTATACATAGATAATAGTAACAAGTCATTATTCTATGCTGAAAGAACTATTTATAAACCTAGCTTAATGCTGTAATGTAAGGAACTAGGGATGACAGCAGAGCGTTCAAAGTGGGGGCAAATAATGCATTGTTGAGGAATATAGTCATGGGATGATGCTGAAGGCTGCAGGGCCAGTTACTGACAGGAGTAACAGAAACCAGCAAAAAGTATTGATACGTTGGAGAGAATCTATTTATAGTAACTTCTAACATGGAATTGCAGACCAAGGTGCTAGGGAACATACAAAATAGCCCAAAGTGCAGTGTAGTGCAAGAAGAAACCATCACCAATATACTCCCAGGAAAGAGGAAGAAGAAACCCTTGCAGCATACTCTTCCCAGCAAAGGACCTGGGATGCTGTTGACTGGTCACCAACCTTCAGAGCAGTGGAAGGGTGACTGTAATGGGGGTAGAGATTGAGAATTGGGCTCATAACAGCTATATTACTGTTGAGACCTTTTCTGTAACAGTATTCTTTTATTTTCTTTTCCTGTAATAATTAGACCTGGACTACGACCAATTACTTGATCAGACTGTTAAGATTTCAGTTATACTAACAATAAATTCTTGGCTTTGCATAAAAGTCGTTTCCTTTTGCCTGTAACAAGACTGTAATTGTTACTGTTTTCGGATAAGGATGTTCCAGCTGTCCTTCCAGCGCAAGTCCTTGAGTTCAGTAACAGACAGCGAGGGCTCCCCATAGGTCACAGGGCTGAATGTGCGATAGACAAGGTAAACGGAAGAGAACCAGGCTACGATCAATGCACTGAACATGCTCTTGAGAAGCAGAGATCTGGGATGAGAGAGGTAAAGAGCAGTCAAGTTACATCAAGGCTGGCCAAAAACTTCATCCAAAAGGAAGACCTAAATCTGGCCTGTCTTTTCTAAAGGCAAATGCCAAAGTTAGCCACTGCTGGAAAAATCACTGCTTTCCCTGCAGCAGCTTCCCCAGGTGACAACCCTGGAGAAAAGAACCGTGTCATTTCTCTTGTCTATCTATCTATCTATCTGTTAAAACCAAATACCTGCAGAGATGATTGCCAAGATGCTGTAATACGATGGGAATCAGGAGAATCTGGAATGTGAGGGCAGGCAGGTAGTGGTACAGGAAAAGGGTTTTCTCCATCAGGAAGAAGGGCAGGTAATTCACAGCCCAGCCTCCAACACAGATTCCCCCGGCTGACACCCACAGCTGCCACGCATCTGCAGAAGACAGGAGATAGCTCAAAGCATGGTCCCTGGAAACCTAAAGATGCTAAGAGGTTGCCTACCCGTGTGGTTTCTTTCCCCCCCTCCGCCCTCCCTACAGTTTGTGCTATTATGACCTTTAGCTTGACCACACTCAACTGAGGGATATAGTTAATTTTTGTCATGCTTTTATGAAGTGATTACAGCCAACATGAAGCAGCTTCACCACAGGACAACAAAATGTACCGCCAGAAGGGTCAGCGTGAAACTGCCCAGCCACACAGAGGAGGGGGTTCCTCAGCTGGAATGAACACATCTAAAATAAACCCCTCCCTACATGGCCAGTCCCTACCTCTTTTACATCATCACAAAAGGGCTCAGTAGAATCCAAATCTGACACCTTGAGATTTCTTAGGTCCAGGGAATGATTCAAATAAATATTACGCTGGCTACTATGTTGTCTCATAAGGTGGTGGTCATATTGCAATGACCACAATCATTCTCTTCACGTTTAATAAAAATTTCAGGGTTAGGGAGCAGGAACAAGTGCTAGCATAGCCAAGCACATAGTTGCAAAAATGTGGCTCTGGGGCCATTAAAGTGTAGCAGAACAAGCGACAACCCCCCCACGCCTCAACATGCACAAACACACACACAAAATGGAATCTGACCTTCAGGAATGTCGTAAATTTTTCTTCTTCGTCGTATCAAGTACCACAGGGACAGACACGTGTAGACCAGAGCAGCAACGTTAGCTGAAGCCCATGTGACGACATTCCCAAGGAGGTGGATCTGGGCCTGCAGAACAGAAGATGGTCTAAGCCAGGAGCAGGAACATGCTGCAGTTCTTTTAGATAACTTTAAATACTGCCTACACAGATTTGCTAAATTAAACTTCAGCATGTGCCTGGCTAGTAACCTGATCTTTCCCGGAACAAAGCAAGCCGATAAACTTTGTTGCTTCAAGACTCTTTTGTAATGTAAGGCACTTAAAAGATGCTATTGGAGATGAACTCATCTTCTAAATGGCATCAATAATAGAAATGATTAAATGGCAGTTTTCCTTTACAAAGAAAAAAAAAAGTGCAAGAAAACATGATTTAATTAAAAAGCAACTACTGTCAAAGCTGTATGCCAAAAAAACCCACCCAACCCTCAGGGAAAATACATTCTTAATATAGGAAGAGTCCATCCCGGAGCAGCTCCTTGGCTGGAACAGCAGCCCTGCTCTCACTCACACTTATGGAGTTCACATCTGAACTGAAGTCTGTTTTCTTCACCAGGTTCACATTTACTTCTACCCCTCATACTTACACCGGAGGTTGGGTGGAGCC